GTTTCCTTCAGCGATGGCTTATGGAGAGTATGTCGAATAATCTACAAAACTTATATCGAATTTACATATGACAAAAGAAAAATTAACATAAACAAGCGTAAACTTACTTGTCTTCGCTTTCGATCGGTTATTTCGTCCTGCAATGGTTCAGGAATCCCAGCCACGTCAATGGTTGGGAAAGCATCTTTCTTCAACCTTCTTTTGAGCTTGACTTGCACGCTCAAATTAAGGTCAAAACAAGAATCTTCAAAATGCGCAGAACACAGACATGAGGTAGAGGAAGCCTCAAAACCCGGTCTATGTTTACGCACAAAATTTACCCATTTTCGATGTCTTTGCGGCTCTGTTTCTTTTTTAGGAAACAGATGCATCGACATTCCTTCGATTTTTGAATCATTGGCACAACTAATTTGATTAGGTCCGCCAGCAACACAGAGTTTTCCTCCGTGTTTCTTATTAAGATTGTTAGTAGAATACGCCATGTTGATATATGGTGTTCAACTTTCTACGTCACAAGTCATTAGCATACCGATCAAAAAGTTCGCAAAAAAAATGCTGAAAATCGTGACTTTGAACGTCCGTAAAATCACTTTCACCAATCCAATTTCAATTATAATTGGAGATTTAAAATCACTGAAACAAGGTCTTTAGATTTAGCTAATAAAAAAGGGGGGCTAAAATTCGTGATATAACCACTTTAAAACATGATTCTTTACTTTAATCTCCCTAAAGTAAATGGTTTAAACACGGGAGTATCGTTACATGTTTGTAAATGTAGATCGTCCAGGTTGGTATAGTCCTGAGAAGGACTGTTTTTGTTGTTGTTGACTGACGTTTCGACAGCCTTAGCGGTAGTCATCTTCAAAGTCAAAAGAATCTGAATATGACTACGTCTAAGGTTGTCGAAACGTCACTCAACAACAACAAAAACAGTCCTTCTCAGGACTATACCAACCTGGATGATCTACATTTACAAACATTTAATCTTCTTGCCGCATCAAATTACTTAAGGACATAGTGCAAGTGTCTTTCAAAATAAATGTTAATTTCGATTAGAACATGCACTTAACAATATCTACTTTAAAAAACAATAATGAAATGAATGTGATTAGTTATTTTTTGTAATGTGATGTATGACGACATCTGCCAGATCTCTTGTGACCTACAACTCATGATGAATGTTGTTTTGTTGCGTTGAATTTGTTCTTGCGAGATTGCTATTAATAAAACTCTATAAGCCCTATATTGAAGACGAAGAAAACGTTTTACTACGACTAAAGGAATTTTAAACCCAGTTTGGCGACCACACTGGCCGACAAATTAAAACGGATTAGATTTAATATGAAGACTTTTTGTGAAAATCCAAGAAGTTAATGGCAATAATAAAGAGTAGCGACATTTTGTCGATTTTAGAATCACTTTTTCGGGGCAAAGATGAGGAAGACGAAACCAAACAACGATCGATTTTTTCGGTTAGCGTATGGGCAAAAACGTATAAGTTGATTCAAAGTTTGGTAGCTATCGTTGTCCTCAAAACTAAGAGTTACGAAGAGCTGGCGCTATTGGTGCAGGATATAACTACCAACCGAAACCATCGGAAACATTCACAGACAATAGTACAGCGTTTAAAATTAAACACTCGATGCCAAAACCAAAGTAAGACCTTTTCAATGTTAATGACAGAATTAAAGTGTCTAATCAGAGGATCGCGAATTTGGTTGAAATTTGGACGAAATGTTGCAAGATTGATTTGCTTATGGGACAAATTACCATAAGATTCAATAGCGATTAATAGCTGAAGCAAAACTAACTTTAAAGTGAAAACTTGACCTTGCTTTTGCTATTAAAACATCCGAGAAAGTCACTTCAAAGGACCATTAACGTAATGGAGACGGTTGTCTTGCATCACGTTTCTTGTGTACTTGGGTAAGCCATAAAAACGAAGTGGTTGAGAGCCTTTTAAGAAAATGGTATTGTATACTTGGTTGTCAATTGAGCCCTTCCTTTTTAATTTTCTGAGGAGTCATGTAGTTTAGCTTCTCGGGATAGCGTAGGATTTTCATAATACGTATATTTTATGCTCATTATAGAATAATCAAATGAAAGCTTTGAAAAAGTGATTTTCTAATACATTTTGAAGGAATCTGCTAAACATTACTCAAACAAACATGGTTGAATATAGTTCGTAAAGCTTACTTTAAAAAGTAAGTACATCTACAGCTAGTTCTACATAAATGGAATTACAAATATGTATAGCCTGAAACAAGAGCAAATGTGGTTCCTATTACCACTATTGTAATTAAGAAATGAAAATATATCCCATTGATTTAAACTCTATTATCGGCTTTCCTGTGCAACGAGCTGAGTTCCCGCAGCTGTTGATATGAGGTGTTCGCCCGCAGTACTAACCGTTGTATGGACCACCAAAACCAATGAAAGAGTCGGATTTTTGACAATCATTTTTATCATTCCCTATGATACCAAGCCTTACACGAGCATGTGACCAATGTCCTGACTCTGCGTTAAAACCTTCTTTATTGCAGTTTTGTTGAAGAACGCTGTCTTTGATTAATGACATCCATTGTCTTCGGTTCACACTTGTTTTGCGGTATTCTCCACCAGCGATGACATCATACAACGATTTAGCTTTCATCTTGAAGCTGATGAAGTTTGTACCGTTGAGTTTCATTCCAACACATATCTTGTTAATTTTTGTGCTCCAGTAGGTAGGAAGTTTTGTTTCCAAATCATCCATTCCTGTTTTACCATTTTCAATATTGTAACTACTTTTATTTGTCCAAAACGATGAGTCAAAGTCGAAGGTTTTCTAAAAAAAACTTGTAAAAGTTACACAATGAATTAAAAATTCTGTTCAAAGTTAAACATTTCTAACATTTATTTTAAGTACAATAGTAATTCCTGTCTCCAAAAAAATGAGTTAGACATGAACTGATCTGAGGTATTATAACCTATGCCATACAACGAAAAATCGACCTTCTGAAACTGTTTCAATGTTAACACAGGCGGAAATCACATTGTGGTGATAATGACATTTACTGCCTTTCCTTCCACACTAAACTCTTCACTCATTGGAATTTTAAGTTTATGTCGAGAACGTAAAATGAAGCAATTTTACAGAAATTCAAAAAAATAAACCTAAAGTGTTAGCAGTTCTACTAGGCAATCACACATAACTACATACATCATTACGTGCTTGCCGATGTGATAAATACCCTAGCCCAGACTCTATCGGTCCTAGTTTTTAGTGATTCAATCTTCGAAAACAGACATATTTTTCTGAATAATTTGTTCTATTCATTTAAAGAGTTTAAAAAACAAAAAAAATGTTCGAAATTATGAGAAACTTTTGTAACCACCTCTCTTTCATTCTAGACATGAATTTTGGCTTGAACTTGGACATAAAAAAAATAAAATTAGCACAACATATGACTTAAGTTTGAACTCCATTTCCTTTTAATATGAGAAAATAATGATTTAATTCTCCTCAAGTCGTTTTTAAAAAAAGGTTTTTGACTTGGTTGTGTCATGATGTGAAAGAAAGTTGCGATAAAATATCGAACACAAAATTTGTCAAATGATAAATTTTCCCAAGGCATCATCTGACCTGGGAAATGTTTTAAAAGCTTAAAGTTAAAGTCATTTAAATCAGTTTTTCAAAAATAAAGAACTGAGAATTTTAGATTGATAAAAAAGTCAGACACTGGCATTTTGCATTGGAAAAACTGCAGTGAGCAGTGAGCAATGCGACATTTTGCTTATAAAACACATTTACAACTTATTGCAATTGTTATTTTCAATCGTCGAATCAAGTTTCCATTAAGTCACGTGCATAAGTCGTAATGATATTCACAAAATTTAAATACACATTGTTGTAACTTAGTTGAAACTTAGTTTAAGTAGAAACTTATGGTCTTATAGAAACATCAAATGTAAATATAAAATTTAAACGTCTTTAAAAAATAACGCTCATGAGTGCAACGTGGCTAGGTTTTTATCATACCTTATTCCCATCAATTTTCATCACTAGCGTCCAGCCTTCTCCAGAACAACCCAATATCTTTTTTTGACAGAAAACTTTGCTGTAGCCAAGTGAAGTGTCCGTCTTTATCAAGTACACACCATCTTTTGAACTTTTGCATTTGTTTACAAGAAAAACAAATTTCTATCTTAATTTTGTTGTTATAATTTATCAATATAATAGTTGATCACAAGAAACGTTAGCAGACCAACTTTTCTAAAATATTTTTTGTTAAAGAATCAAAAAAATCTCGAGAGACTTTAATAATTGAGGGTTTTTTTTTATTTCAAAATTACGGAAAACATTTAAAGTAGCGTATTAGCTTCTATTAGAAATCGCAAACTCTGTGTTTTAAATAACATGTTCTTACAAAAAAGTAAAAAAATGTCTTCTATAGCAAAAATTTCTTTATTACCTCTAGTTTTTTTTTATTCAAAAGGGTATTTATTTTACAAAAAAGTAACAAAGAATGCTTGGGAACGGCTCAAGACAATTGCGATTTTTACCAAGTTTTTTAGGTAATTAATTTCTTCCAATAAAAGGTAGAAACCAATGAAATTATTGACTGTCAAATCATTAGTCGACAACTGCTTACACAATGCTTATATATGTTTTCTTGTCTGAGTTACTCGCGAAGTAAGCGTATAGAAAAAATGGCAGTTTTTGAGATTTTTTGGTTTTTGTTTGGAATATTATAAATTATCGATGCTCCTACGTCTATGTCTGATAGTCTATGTTAAAGTAACTTTCGACAACTAACTCTTGTTTGCAATTTTATTGTTTAACTGTTTACTAATGATTTTACAAACAATTATTTTATTGGTTTTATTTTTTTAACTAGAGCAAACAATCTTATTATATAAAACATGATGAATCTTTACAAAAGTTTTAATCGATCTGCTCACATTTACACGTTAATTTTATTTCTTAAAATTTTGGCAGAAAAATACACTTCTTTCTACTGCTGTAACTTACTTTTTAACTATTCTATGTTTGGTAGACGTAACGTTTTTAACCAAATAAGGACTACTTATTCCACCTTTATACTTTATAAAAATTAGCTACGTTTTAGGCATACTATACCTGCCATCTTTTACTGCTTCTTTGCATGATGAAAAATCTGAAAAATATATTTTAAGAAGAGTTAGACATAAATCAATTAGGTATGGGGCGAACTCAAATAGTACGTAATTTATCAGATCAGTTGATAAACAAACATGGCTAAACAAGGAAGATGAAAAGATGTTGTTGTGGACACATAAAATATGAACTATGACTTTGTTTTGCTAATAAAACTTTTATGAATACAAAATGCTGAGTTTTATTTGTCAAAGAACTTTTTGAATTAAAATTTGACAAAATGGTGCAATCAATCATCGATAGTAGCGAGCAACATATTGACATCAAAATCAACAAACAAATTGAACGATTAAAGTACTGTTTCTCCAGCTCAGTATCAACTTTGTTTACGATTTTTACAGATGACCCAACTGACTTATCTATAAAATATGGCTATGGTAGCTTTTTCAATACGAACGAGTCGTCATTCTCGAAAACGTCTTAATAATTGCCTCCTGTTGTATATTCATCCATAACTACTTGAACTTCTGTATGAAGAGACAGGCTTGGAACTTTATTTGGAACAAAGAAATTAGGCTTAAGGCATTAAACGGACTATTTAGTATCGACAAAGCAAATGCAAATTGTAAAGTTTTTCTTCACATAAAAAATTATTTATTGTCAATTGAAGCATTAGAACACAAATTTATTTCATACACTAACTCTTTTCGGCATCTACAATTGTAATAACTGGAGTAAAGTCATTTGTAGATACAATAGTGCTGTCGTCCCACAGCAATAAAAAACGTACATTTAGATTTTGGATGACTTTTCAATTAATTTTTCTCACAAAAATTAGCACTTTTCCCGGATTCAGGGTGAAGAGGTGAAGTTCCCCATCAGAGCATGTCTCCGAGCATGCAAATGATGCAATTTATCAGCTGTTCTAATGTACATATTATAGCGTCATTTAAATTGTATAAAATTTCAGTTATAACGTATGAAGTTAACTGTTCTCGTCATGTTTTGAAAATAAAGTGAAAACTGTTTGGGGAAGGAAAACTGCTGCAAATATCTGAACAAATTGTGCTGCATCCAAATTTTTAACAAACTTACATAGTTTTTGCATACAATTTTCCCCCGTAAAGCCAAAAGAACATTGACATCTATAAGGATCAGAGCCAGGTCCGTCTTTCAAGTCAACAGTCGTTATTCCACCATTTTTACACAACTTTTCTTTGTTGTATGGTATCTTTAAAAGTAAAATGGGCAATTAATTAAAATAAGTAGCTCTGTATATGAAAATAGTTTAAGCCGTTAATATTCTTTTCCTTCGTACCTTTCTTTGTGGATTTAACAATTCATAGAAACTCCATTTATTATCTGTGCAAATTTTATAATTCGGTGGAAGTGTGTGGGTTAATTGACAAGTTACGTCCCTTGTCGCTATGTCTTCACAAAGTTAAAACCAACACAGAACGGCTTTTGTAAACATTTCAATGCACATGAATCTGCCGATGAGAAAAGTGTTTCAAACAAAACATTTTCCCTTAATGGACATGTCTCTAAAATAATGATGAAGTAAACAAAACTTTTAAAAACAAAACTTAAGATAGTTATAAATTAGATGATAAGATGCACTTCGGTAAATTTATCGAGACTCGTGATGTTAACGGGATTGAAAATATCTTTCTTGCTTTCAACTCCAACCATGTACATGAAAGGTGTATTAAAATATAAGAAAAAGACCTGCGAATTTTAAAATTTAATGATAAATTTAAAAATTATGACTTCAAATTCATCTATCAAACTTTACACAAACTAACCTTTTTTCAGCAAACGCAACATGGATTTTTCAGTAATATCACAGTATACTTCAAAAGCAATTGTGATTATATATGTAGTAATCTGAAAATGCAGTGACAGAGAAGAAAGCATACTTAAAGATCAATAATATAGTACGACTTTGCGTTTGTAATTTAAATGTGGTTTCAATGAAAATGATGCATGGTTTATGCATGCATATACTTATACCCTTTTAAAGAATTTTTTGTAAATAATTAAATTTGTTTGAACAGCTGAAACATTGTTTGTACCTTATTTCCAAAATATGGACGCATCTATTCAAGAATATGGCCAAGTTTTTGACTAATTTTCAGATCAATCAACCGTGTTATCTTATGTTCTTTAACATTCCAATGCATAAGATTAAAATTTTATCATCTCAATCTTTTGCAGATTTTTAAAAAGTTCCTAACTAAGTTATATAACTTTTAGCGTATTCTAAAATATATGCCAATCACTCTTATTTATGCCGTAAAAATAGCATTAGACTGCTTTGCAAAGAATATTTTGAATTTTGAAATTAGTACGGAAATAAACAATTTTCTGCTTTACTCAAAAGCACTGTCTTAATTTCAAAGGCTAAATCTCAGTAAATGCAGCATTTAAATATTTGAAAATTTCAAAATACATGCAAAATTTCTTCTTATAATGGAAGTTGCCTGTCGTTCGAAAAGTCTTGACTTACTTTTGTGACGTTACTTGTCAATAGAAGATATATATACCAAATACCTTCGATGATATGATAATTCTGCTAGAATCGGATTTTTGCAAACAGACAGGGTCCATTTAGAGGCAACTTACAACCGACATAACAAAATATGGTTTGAACAAGTTAAAACGTTTTCCTTGTTACAAACCTTATTACACCTTGTTCTAATATTTGAGAAAAAGTTTTTGCTGATAGGTGGATTTTAACAAATGAATCAAAGGGAGGAAACAATTTTGCGTTTGCATTTAAAGTTACAAAATAAGAAGCATTTCTCATCCAGGGGACATTATTAACTAGTAAATTTAAATTGTCATAACAGCGTTGTTTACGTATACAAGGCGTCGAATTATATTAAATATTAAGTTAAATAACTCGCATTACTAAAATGACGCAAAAGCTAATGAGACAACAATATTATAATAAAACTATGTCTAAATCTAGCACAAATGTTTCTCTTAAGTAGCTAACTTATTGCGTATGTCACTTTTAATTCATAAATAAAACTAGAAAGGCATTTAGGTTCATCTTATTTGAGCAACTTAAAGACAACAAATTTTATGAACAATTTTTCTTGCGTCCTTCAATTAAATTTGAAAAAGTATACTCAAGTGAAAATATTTTAAAAGAAAAGCATAATTCTAAAGAAGAATTAACCTTTACTAAACGGTTTTGTTTTGGACTGCTTTATCCAAACACACGGAAGCTAAGCGAGATTTAAGTGAAGTGCTCAAAACATGAGCCGAAGGCGAGTGCTTTTGTACCGCTTTTCTTAACTCGAGCAACATTCCCAAGAGTTTGGAAAAGCATTTTAATCAATGAAAACCATTTAGTGAATGTTTTAAACAATAACAACAAGAGAATAGTGTTAACAACAAGAGATTGTTCCTAAAAATACATCACTTTTTAAATGTTTATCCATATAATAAAGTAAATTTCAACCAAATTATATGTTTAATTTTAAGAACTAGGATGAATCCACTACTCTTCATTTGCAGTACAGGATCGAAATGTCGAAGTCCTTAAATTATTGCTAGAACATGATTATTCCATGATAAACTGGGAGACTAAAGATAAACGGACAGCACTGATGGAAGCTGCCTTACATGGCAAGAAAGACGTTTTGGAATGTTTACAGGACAACAAGGCAGCCATTACAAACGATTATGAAATCATTAACTGCATGAATTTGGCTATTTAAAGTGACGATCAAGAGAGTGCTATGATGCTAATGTGTTATAATAGATGGCGTGAGGTAGTAATCTTACTTACCATGTGTTTTCTTAAAAGCAAAAGATATTGCATACCTAAGTTCACAATGTAAAAAAGTGTTACTTTATCAGTATATTCGTTGAATAAGAATGGCTCTTGCTTATAACGCATTTTTTTGATAAACTTGAGTAAACTACAATTTAAGAACTTTGATTTTTGTTTTCAGATTTTGCAAAAATTGTTTCACGATCCTGAAGTCCAGATGGCAAAGTTGGTTTCAGAAAACATGTCAGATGTGGCTTACCAAGCTCTTTGTAGCAGCATGATTTCCATAGGTGACCCAGAATGTGATGACTATAAAGTTGTATACGACTTAATATGTTTACAAAGTAGTGCCAAAGGTATGTTCACTCTGTTTTTACTCTCTTCTTCACATCATTCTTAACTGTGCCATTCATTAAAAAGAATAACATCTTCATATAAATATGTTTTATAACTTTTATTATACCTGAAGAGTGCAATATGAAGTCTACTAAACGTAAACCCAACAAACATGGCTGTCAAAGCGATGGTGGATAATAAAAGCTACAAATGTCTTTCGCATCCTGTCTGCTTGAAATATCTCAAAGAAAAGTGGAGAAATAACACATGGAAGTATCACACGCTTGAATTGTTTATATATCTTGTGTTTTCCAATTTTTTTAACTTCTATGCATTTAGCATTCCCAGCTATAAGACAACGCTTTTAAACAAAGATAATAGTTCAACATATAGCATTCCTAACACGACACAAGGTATTTTTAGCAAAACAAAAGGCATTCCTGTTTATGAGAAAACATCCCAAGACAACGGTAATCCAGCGCATATACATCTAATCAACAATAAAGTTTCTTACGATGTGTTTTTTATTTATAACACTAGATAATGCCTCCTTGACAATGGCAATGGCAGTTCGTTTATTTTTTTCTGGCTATGGTTGCATTAAAGAATTTTGTCAAGTGGGATTAAAAAACATGGATTATTTTCTTCTTTGTTCTTTCTATAAATTATCTTCAGTAATTAAAAAGATACGTAAAGTCTTTTTTTGAGTGAATATTAGCTAAGCTAAGTTTATTTTTTTGCCTTTCCCACGTAAGTTATTAATTCTGTTTTTGGAAAAAATAGTTTTTAGTTTGGTTTTAATAGTTTTTTTCAAAAATGTCAGTTGACATACGTATTAGTGATCTCTGATTTATTGCAATTTAATTTTGTTTTTCTATAGTTAGTTCTTTACAAATAGCACTTCTTTATTGACGACATGAACTTTTGGAATGTGTTCTCTACATATACACAGTCATCTTTCCTCGACGATTTCTCAGTGAAAAGCCTGTTCCATAGCATTGTTTTCTACACGGCTTTATCTGGTTACAAATTTCACCCAATTTCGATACTTTAGTGTGCTGATTTATACAATAAGAAGAATGGAATTCACATTATGCATGGTTTACATATCACTTAAACATCAAAATAATTTTTGGTAACACTGCGGGAGGTGTTGGATTGAGTTGTGTAAGCTTTACAATTAAATGTTATGGCGATTAAAATTTTGTGGTCTGTAAAAACATACTATCTTAATACATGTTGATATAAAAAAATTTTTGTTTCTGTTCACATCTGTTTGGAAAAAAATTTAAAGTGGTTATATCACGAATTTTAGCCCCCCTTTTTTATGAGCTTAATTGAAAATTTGGATTATTTGAAGAACTATGACATGTCGCTGGACTTAAACAGATAAATATAAGTTGCTTTATTTTGCCTCCAAAGTCGGGTACCATTTGCGAATTTTTTACGACGCCATATTGATACTTGTGACGTAGATAGTTGAACACGTCTGTTTCCAGCCAAGTATAATGTTATATTATAGAAGGGATGTTGAGCATTGTTAAAAAATTATTCATGAAAATTAATTAGTTGCACAATAAGTGAGATAGTCATCTTCAATCTGAGAAGTATACATACCATTCACTGTTATTTTAATACTGTAATCATCAGGAAAGGTTTGTATATCAGTGCCCAGATAGGGAGGCTCGAACTATCACTTGCCTAAGGTGAACCTCAGGCTGGTGGTGGGAAGGAGGTGCCTTACTTCATTCCAGACAGGCTCCAAGCAATGTCTGACCACTGCCCTATCATCTACCAACTTCAATTTATTCTTTTCAGTGGCACATACTCGAGGATGTCCTTTCATGGAGCTTTCATTTAGTACATTTGCGAGTACTTTTATTCCCAACGCTATTTAATATTTGATCCGCATCATCTGTTAGGTCTTGTAACTGCTGTCTTTGCTGTTCCACTAAGGAAAAAATGCAGATCATTTCATCCTAAAATAATTGTAAACAATACCATTATCCCATACTTACAGCACGGATAAAGTGCATGACTGACATGCTTGTTCCTCGCAACATATTTTTTCATTGCTTCAGCCTTGGATC